AGTGGGTTTGCAAAAAGGACTTTTATGTGATCTGTGTCCAGACAGAGTGTACAGTCTGCTTGGGGATACGAGGAGTAAAACCACCAAGACGTCCGTTGAACTGCAACACTAAGGATCAGCTGCCCTGTTAAATCTTCCCCACGACCTTACATTGTTTGTCTCAAATCTGTGCCTCCCCAGGCCACGAGCTCTGTTCTAGGCTCTTGGGACACATCCACCAGTGAACAAAAGGTCCCTGCCCACCTGGAGCTTATGGTCTAACAACAGGTGGGTGATGGGCAACCCAGGATAAACTTAACAAGAAATTAAGTCAGGATGTAATGGTGCAGCCAAGAGGGGGGCCCCAAATAGGGATTTGGAATGGGGTCCAGAACTCAAGGTGTCCAGGAAATATTAGGATGTCCTCACTGCCCCCCAAACAGGTGTGAGTTGGGGGAAGGGACAAATGGAGCAAGGCCATTGAGAGCTGTTTTATACAGCAATGGCTTTGCATCTAACCTCTGGCATGGTCATTTAAAATATCTAGAACCTTTAATTGGTTGCATGGACATGTTAAATAGCTGTGGCCATGCTCTGAGCCAGGGGGATGGAAAGTGACTTCCCTCCAAGATGAAACCGGGGGTCAGGTCCCCCGAGTTACAGTGCCTGTGTGAGAGCTTGGAGAAGATTGGCTCCACACCATGGGGCCACACCTGCCCAGACTCACAGTGGCAGCCCAGTAAAGCTGGGAGGATACTGGAGTGCTGGGGAGTGTAGCCGACTGTGGGAGGAGTCGGAAATGGGGCTGCAGAGGAGAACTGGTGTGAGGATTGAAACCCAGACTCAGCAGCCATTGAGGAGAGAGCCACATGCAGCTTTGGTAGGGAGAGGACCACGTGGCTGTCGCTGTGAAGAAAGAGAGAGCCATGCAGTCTTGGCAGAGTGCGGACCCCCACAGCTGGGGTGGAGAGAATCACCATGCAGCTTCAGCAGAGAACCGCCACTTGGCTTTGGTAGAGTTGTGAACCCCCAGCTCCCTGCAGCTTTTCTGAGAAGAACCATGGGGTTTTGGCCAGAGTGGGGACCCCAGCAGCTTTGGTAGAAGAGGACTATGCAGCTTTGGGGTACTCCCTTTGGTCACATGGCTTGGGAAGCAGGAAAGACTGCCTGGAAGAAGGGTGAAAGAACTCTTGCCCGTAGGCCATGAGAAGGTGCCACGTGGCTTTGGATTAATTAGAGATCCTGCCTGAACTGCCACACAGCTGATGGTGCTGTCAACTTGAATCATAGGATACCTACTTTTTTTCCAGAGTTACGGTACCCCAAATTAGGGCAAGGGGAGAAGTAAGCACTGTGGGTATCTTTGGGTATCCCAAAAAACTTTGATATGTTAATGAAGACATTAGGTCACTACTTCAAGCCCATATAGCATTAAATAAACATTTCCTTTCCTTTTCACAAATCTCTGGCATTGAGAGACGTCTTTCCTATCTGGCAGCGGACATAATGAACCTGGTGGGGGGTCCTTTTGGTAGTAATATATTGTGACCCACCTTGACCCTGTTCAGTAACAAGGAGATGATGAAACACCACCCAAAAGGAAAAAGAGAACAACCTGAGGGTCTCGCAGAGTTAGAGCCTAGGTGCAGGCTGTCACTTTAGACACTGAAGTCCAGACAACCTCTCGGAGGAGAGACGTGAGCACCTGCAGGAGGGAGACAGGTGGCTGTGTGGGCGGCCAGGGGAGGACTTCCAGGCAGAGGGAGAAGCGAGGGCAAAGTCCCCGAGGCAGGAAAATGCCCGGCCTGTCCCGGGAGTCCGCTGTGGCTGCGGCTCAGAGCAAGGAAAGGGATCAGAGGAGTGAGGGTGGGGGAGGGGCTGTTCGGCCCTTAGTCTATTGGACACGGGTGAGATTGCAGGCCCGCGAGCACACAAGTGAGGTGCTGAGTTTTTAAGGTGCTATTCTCTATACTTCATGCGTGTTTGAAAATGTCCCCAATAAAAAAATAAAAAGCTAATTCTAATCGCTGGGTTTCAAAGAGGCCACAGGGATAGGGCCAGGTGGAAGCAGGGAGAGTTGTTAGGGTTCAAGGCCATAATCCAGGTGGCAGACAACAGCAGCTCAAAGCAGGCTGGGCAAAGCAGACTGGGTTGTTCAGCGATTTTGTACACCAAACAAGCAAGGGTGGGGGAAGGGAAGGAGGGGCGAGTGGCTCGAGGTGTTTGGAAGGGCATTTGGGGACTTTTGAAGAGTGGGCTTATCATCAGTTGAAACAGAAGACTCTGGGTAGACCAAGTTCAGGCTGTGTCAGTTTCCTGTTGTTGCTATAGTAAATTCAGTGGCTCAAACAAAACAAATTTACCCTCTTACAGCTCTGGAGGCCAGAAGCTAGAAACCAGGTTCACCAGGCTGAGTCCAGGTGTCAGGAACTGGCTCCTCCTGAGGGGAGAGTCTGGTCCTTTGCCCTCTTTCTTCAAAGTGCCGCCCTCCATTCCTCTTCCACTGTCACGTGGCTTCTCCTCCTCTCCTGTGTCAGTGTCCCTCTGCCTCCCTCTCAGAAGGACACTTATGATGACATCGAGGGCTCACCTAGATAATCCAGGATAAACTCTGACCTCAAGACCCTTTAATTTAATCACACCTGCAAAAGCCTCACTTACAATATAAGGTAAATTCCCTGGCTCCGGAAGTTAGGACCTGGATATCTTTGGATGCCGTGGCTCAGCCTTCCACAGTGGCTGTCTTCAGTAGCTCAGTTTGGGGTGTGTTGTGTTTGAAATATACGGGAGGCATGCAAAGGGGAATGTTGACTAGACTGTTGAACATACAAGTGCGGTGTCCAGTAGAAGGCCTGAACTACATTTAGTCATTTGGGAGTCCCCAGCATGTTGACAAGATTTAAAGCCGTGAGACTGAATTTAACACAGACACTCAACTTCCCAACCTCCCTTGCAGATGGAGCACAAACACGTGACCAAAACTCGACCAACCAGACGTAGCCACATCTGGGTTCACCTGTACCTCTGTGAGCGCAGTGAATGAAGACAGTAGGTGCCACTCAGGATCCATTCTAGCTGCAGAGGTGCCCAAGGCACCAGCTTTCCCAGACAGCAGTGGCAGAAGTTCTAGAAGCATCCAGGTGTGAGCATCACAGGTGTTCTCCAATACCAGACAGGCTACAGTGAGGTCTCCCTGGTGTGACCTCCAGCCCTGCCTCTCTGGCTCTCTCAGGGAGGTTCTGGGAGTAACCTAAAATCCTTTAACACATCCCATTTCTGCTGAACTATCTGGGGCTGATGTGTGATAGTTGCAGTTAAGAATTTCATCCAAGGAGCTCCCTACTTGAACCTTGGGAACCGGAACCCTGTGCCTATCCCCAGCCCTGGGGCGTCTTCCTAGTTCCTGTCTAGAAAGGAAATTGGGGCTTAAACACACATCGTTCTGCCCAATCTTCACAACGAACCTGTGAGAGGGCTTCCATGATGTTTAGTTTTGTAAAGGAGGTCATCAGACTCCGACTGTGGCGCTCTTACCCTGCCCGAAGGGTCGGCGTCCCCAGACAGTGGGCAGATGTCTTTCGGGAAGGAGATCAAAGCTATCTTAAAATGCAAGCTCTAGCGAGGAGCCCCTGGAAGGCCAGGCTAGAAGTTCAGACCTGGTGGTGAGGAGCCCTGAAGGCCTTTGGGCAACAGGAAAGGGAGGGCGGGTTTCATTTTCAGGTGGACAAAGTCAGGTCCTTCTCCTGTGAGTGGACTCCAGAGTAATGCACAGCAAACTCCCAGGAGGGGACAGCAGAGTGTGGGGGAGGCTTTCAATGTACCAGCCACCCCAGGAGTGTTAGCTCCACGGACACATGCGGGTGATGGTGGGTCTGTCCTCCCAGCCGCCCAAAGAGCATCATGGTTGGTCACCAGGGTGAATTCTGGAGCCTCACAGACCCACTTAGGGCCCACTCACGCTGGGTGGTCTTGAGCTAGTTCTTTGCTAGGTTCTTCGAGCCAGAGTTTCTCCACTCCTGAAATAAGCATAACAGAACCTACACACATTGGTTCAGATACAGGTTTGGTTGTTGTGGAAATGACCCCAAAGTCCTGTGGCTAGACAAGACAGACGTTCATTTCTTTCTCAGTAATGGGCCACATGACTCCAGCCCCATCCAGGGAGCATCCAGCCATGTCCCTTTGGGGATGGCTCAGCGTCAGTCTTCTGGGTCCACACAGCTGCTAGGAGGGAAGGGGTCCCCCTTTCCGGGAACACACATTCCTCCCTTTCAAGTACTTAAGCCAGAAGTTGCACACGTCACATAGCCACAGTGAAAAGGAAGGCTAGGAAGTGAACTTGTCACTCTTGGCAGCCAAAAGTGCAACTAAAATTCAAAAGTTCTGTTACTAAATGAAGAAAAGAGCTATATGGGGTTGATGCGCAGTCTCCATCTACCTGTCTGTCTAAGGGACCAGCAAGTGATAAGAACGAAAGAAAGATTCAATGTAATGCACGCCGCACAATGCCTGACATACAGTTGATGTCCAGCCCCGATTCATTTTCTTTCTATGGTTAATAGATGAATGGATCCTACAGACATTCACTGAGCACCTACTGTGTGCAACTGTTATAAGACACACAGAGGAAGTTGATGCAATTTCCATGTCAAGAGAGGCAGACGGATGGTCCGGCATGAAGTGTAATGAGCTAGAAAGAGGGAAGCGCTGTCCCCCAGTTGTGTACGAAGTCCTTGGAGCACAGAGAAGGGAGTTTTCCACCCACCTGCAGAATCGGGAAAGCCCCGAAGAGAAGGGACCTTTGGGGTGGGATCTGCGAAGATAGGCACAGCGTTAGCAGACAGGGAAACCGTCCTGCTGACACAGATGAACACAGTAAAGCACTAGGTTCTACCCATAAGTCTACCTAAAATTGGGTGTGGGTCCAGGTCCAGACACAGGTAACACCCATGTTTGTGCTGCTCCCAGCCCTGGTCGTTCTTCTTGTAGTTGCGAGATGCTCTTCAGCAATAACCAGCAGAAAACTTAAAAAAATATTTATTGCTTTCTGGACCTGAAAATTACCCAGCACTCCTGGGGCCACACAGCGAGGTCGCGGGTCGTGAGTAGAGAACACACGTCTGGGGTTCTGCCTTAACTGGGGCCATGATGGGTGGGGGGTTAGGGTTTCAGGGGCTCACTCTTTACTGGGTAGAAAGGGGACTCAAAATGAGGTTGGGTGATGGCTCCTCAGTCAGTGGCTGGAGATGTTGTGGAGTTTCTCCTCGTGGATGCAGACGCCTCTTTGAAGTGGGCGACTCAGACATCAAAGCTCTCACTCAGGCACATTAGCTACAGAAAAGAAAAGAAAAGAAACACCTGTCAGGGCCCACACCACACTCCAGTGGTGGCAAAGGAGGGGAGAAAGGCGCACCCACCTTAGACTCTGGTGGGAGCACACATGGGTGAGACTTAGAAACATCAACATTTAAACTACACACATTCCCTGACCCAGCAAGGTCACCGCTGGTGCTCTGTCCCACCCAAATGTGTGCATGAGAGCTCACGGTGGAGAGCCAAGGATTCCTCTCAGCGCTGTTTGTAAGAACAAAACAGTGACAGCTGCCATCTAACACCAAATCAGCCTGTGATCGGACAGTGACTAATGGCCCGCGGCCCCTGAAGACTGAATAAGACAGCGGCAGCAGAGCCGGAAGGACGCCCTTTCACCGTGCAGTGCAGCACCCGCCGCGGCGGAACAGCATGTCTAACACCGTGGCTTCCGTACAAAAACAAAGGCAAATAGATGCGTGAAAACGTAAGACCAAACCAAAACCAAACACACCGACATCTGTGTCTGGTAACGTGTATGTTGAGCCTTGAGGACGTACAGCAGGAGATGGGCCGAAATGGTCAAAGGAATTACTTTGAAAAAGTGGAGTAGAGGGACAAGAAGTCCATTGTCGATGACAGGGGATACCGGAAGCAATCTAAGTGTCCGCCCACGGGTGACGGCTGAAGCGAATCGAGGTGCAGGAGCACGACAGACAGCACGGAGCTGCTGGAAGGGAGGCAGTGTGTGTGGGTTGTTAAAGGCACAGACTATTCTAGAAGGATACCCAAGGAACTAGCAATAAGGGTGAAATAATATTGAATGTAACCTGTAATCAAAAGAAATTAAAAAAAAAAACCAAGTAGTGGTTGCCTCTGGGTAGGGGATTGGGCGACTAGAAATACAGGAAAAAAGATGTTCTCTTTCTCAACCATTTTATAGCTACGAATTTTAACCTATGCCCATATATCACCTTTTAGGAAATAAGGTAATTGTAAAACTGGTTAGGATTAAGAAATACATTGTAAGATTTATTTAAGATGTATTAATCCCCCTACCACCCCACGCCTAGCATCTCTGCCGCATCAGGGCAGGCTCGGCCTGCATCCACGGCAGGAGGCTGGCTCGGCAGGCCGGTGTTTGCCACCCCACACCTGCCCAGTAGCTCACAGCCTCACAGCGAGAGAAGGGTGTGGCAGAAGCAAGCCTGACTCAGCAGCCAGGCATTCTGCAAAACTCATATTGCAGTTCATCGGTGTTATATAAAGAGTAAGGACTGGTTATCTCTGGAAGCATGAGGTTGGGTTAAGATATCTACTTACTCTTTAAGGCACAGTCAGGATGAGTGCTGTGGTCCACACACTTTAAGAGCTTCACTGGGCTATAGAATGAAAACAATAATAATGTATGAGGGCTTGAGTACATGGCTTTCTTTCACTAAGCAGTTACGGTGTGCCTGCGAGTTCCTGGGGCCACAAAGTCTCTGACCTCAAAGAACACGATTTTGTTTTTCCTTTTATTTGTTTTTAAAGCTTTATTCCAGCTGCTATTTTTAAAGACTTGTTTATTACTAGAGAGAGGAGAAGGGAGGGAGAAGAAGAAGGAAAGAAATATTGATGTGTGAGATCATATCACCCCCAACTGGGACCTGACCCGCAACCCAGGCACATGCCCTCCCTAACTGGGAATCGAACCGCTGACCTTTTGGTTCACAGGCGGTCACTCAGTCCCCTGAGCCATACCTGCCAGGGCCTGTTTTTCTTTTTATATATTAGCCAGCATTTTAAAATGCTCATTATGTACCAAGAATTATGCATCTTACATAAATTATGCCGTATCCTCAACAACTACATGAACAGGTACTATTATTATTCCCATTTCATAGTCGAGAAAGCTGTCCACAGGACTTGCCCAAGTTCTCACGGTGGCAAGTTGTGGATCTGCACTTGAACCTTGCAGGAGCACTTCTGTATGGATGTACTTTAGGCAGAAGGTTGGACTTGGAAGCACATGGGTGATGGCTGATGCCCAGGCACAGCAAAGAAGCTAAATCACTGCACAGTGGAGGGGGCGATGTGGGGCCCCAGGGCAGCTGGGAGGGGAAGAAGAACGGCAGAGAACAGGAGAGACATGTAACAGTGGCACCCTGGACATTGGGAGGGAGGCAGGCTACGAGAATGTCTCTCAGGGCAGCTTCACTCGGTGACATGCTGTGGGGCTCCTCCCAGGGACGTGCCTGCCTTTCAGTGAAGTCTACACAACACACATGTTTTTTGTTTTTTTTTTTTTTTACTAGAGGAGTTATCCTGTTTCCCCCCCAAAAAATCTCATGGAGTTTTACTAAGTCTGGTTCAAGCAGAGACTAGCCAGCAGGCAAGACAAGGTATGAAAACACAGGACCTTACCAAAATTGCAAGGGGCAATACCGCCTGAATTTTGCGGGGCAGGAGCCCCCCCTTACTTGGAGCTTGGAGTTTGATTTGTTAACCTTCATCGCTTAAACCTTCTGTTACCTCCTCCTCTGTGCTCCCAAGAACAACACGAAGCCCCACCTTGACGCGGAAGGAGCCCATGGGCAGCAGAGAACTGGGAGCTGGGGGACTGAATCAGGCCGCAAGGGAACAGCCCTGAGGCCCACTTAGGTGGGAGGAGACCAGGGGAAAGAAGAGCAGGCCGAGGCCCCAGGACAGAGAAGGAGACGTGCACTCTGGCCGGGCCTCCCTCGTGGGTGGACGACTTATCAAAAGACAGCCTCCTGGGGACATTCCTGGACCAAAGCAAAGTGACCATGAATGTGAAATTCTTAGCCACACATTTCCCCCATCTTTGAGCTGTTTTAAAGTAAGAATTAACTTTTTAAAAATTTGCTAGGATCTGGTGCACTAAGATAGGAGGAGTCTAACGGCCGGGAGAAAAGAACATCACACGGGGTCCCAAGGCTGTGAGTGGTGCCCTTGGGAAGCTTAGCTAGCCTCTCTGGTCCTTACTCTGCCCATCCATAAGAGGGGCTATTTATATAACGCTTACAAACAGACAAAACTAACCTACGATCTCACAGTCTGGACAGCGGTCACCGCGGTGGGCAGGGAAAGACTGAAAGGAGGCCAAGGGGAGGCACTGGGGTGCCGGTTTCACTGGTTCTTGCTCTGGGTGCTGGTTTCATGTGTGTGCCGAACTTGCTGCAAACTCATCCAACTGAACGCGTCTGGTTTGGGAATGGATTTTTCTGTACATAGGTTGTATTTAAAAAAAAATTATTAGCTTCCATTTGTCTTTAAAAGAGGGAGATAACGACACCTGACTTTCGAGCTTCCTGAAAGCATTAGCAATAATAATAGGTGAGTAAAATGGACAGCTTCAAGCTGTGGAAAAAGAGAACAGCTCTGAGGACTCATTCTCTCGGGGAGACAGAGCTGGGGGAGCCCCACCCTTCCAGGGGGCTCTGCTCAGACGGGCGGATTATTCAGCCCCGAGGCTTTTCAGAAGGCGGCCTGCAGCCGAGTCAGCCAGAAGGGCATGGGCTCCGGACAAGGCTGCAGATGTAACTGGCGCCCTGCCATACCCTCAAGCATGTGGGAAAACCACAAGTCCTTGAAGTGCTCGACCCCAGGCTCTGAGGAACCAAACAGGCCCGCACACTTAGGTGAGGAATTCCCAGTCGAGGGCGGGGCTTCCAACGGGCTCAGGCTTGCGGGCAAACTTGTCTACATTTCCAAGAATCAGAACCGCTCTCAAATGCTATCTGATTTTAAGTATATAAAGTTCCCCACCCACAATGTGTTCACTAAACGGTAGCTAGTACTATTTGCCTACTGGCCTAACGGTCAAGATGCTCCTACCTCTGAGAATCTCAAACGCCACCTTAGCACCTGTCACAGGTGAAGCTCCCACGGGTGGCGTGCCACCTGAAGATGCAGGCACTGTGCGCCCTGTTTGCCAGGGAACAGCAAACTGGACACGCACAGTGACAAAGGGCTGCTCTCTGCCTGCCTGTTCTGCGAGCTGTCTAAAAAGCGTTCTGGACGGAAGTGCGGGGAGCCAGGCAGAACCCCGGCCAGAAGGCACACCCAGTCCCCACACCCAGTGACAACCCAGGAGGTTCAGTCCCTTGGTCCTTAGAGCTGATCCCTACCCTCCAAAGTTCCCGAATATATGCCCTGGTTACAGTATACCACCTACAGGTGATCGTTAATGCAGCTGTACTGAAAACCCATGTCCTTCAGTCTCTCCTCCAGGATCTTCACACTGCCTTTTCCACAGGATTCCCTAAAATGTAAACGTATAAAATAAATGAGAGGAGAGAAGGAGTTTCTTCTAGATTAAGTCAAATTTATTTTGATCATGTGCCCCTGGTTCAGGGTTCTCTCTGGAGAAAGACAGCGGCACCTCAGCGCTTGTCGTCAATTCGTTCTGGAACTCGTGGCGAGTGCGAAACCGATGAGTACTGACCGAGCGACAAGAGATGGAGCATTTTCTCTTGCGGGGCGGCATTGGGACTCACACAAGTTCTAGCACGTGTGATGAGTCCCAAGCAGGCGCCAAGTGCTGAAACATTTTTTCTTGTCAAAATGCAATGACTTACAGGGTTTGACCAGTTCTGAAGCCAACAACCACTGAGGTATGACTATAACTGGGAAAGACCCTGGACCCAAAAGTGCCGCGGCAGTAAACCCATGCCACCCGCAAGGGGCTTGTCTGGGCACCCAACACCTAGTCCAAACTTGCAGATCAAGTCTCAGAGCATTTCACGGCCCCACCCACCAGCACACCTCCGGGACGCGCCTCTGGCTGGCAGAGCGCCGTCTGCCACCTTGTTCAGCCTACGGTGGATTAAGTAAGCTTCAAATGGCAGCAAGAATGTATGAATCAAAAATATTAGAAAACACAAATAAACAAAAAGGAAAAAAACCCCAAATCTCACATGTTGCTAACAGTTTGATGTATCTCTTTCTAGACTTCTAAAATATACTCCCGTGAAACTGTTAAAATATAACAGTGGGGTTCTGCTGCCCCACGCACTTTGCTTTCTGCGTTTGCCCACGCCTGTGAGCCTACCTATATGCCCGCCCTGAGTCTTAATCCTGGTGTGCTCTCCCTTCCACGACCCGAACGTACTTCGTAAGACCAGCCCTCTCTTATTAAAGATCAAGGTTCATTCCTAGATTTCAGTGTCATTTATATTGCAAAAACCTTGATGATGCTTCATTTTTTCTTATACACATCCTTACTCATTTGCTTCCTTAGCATAAATTCCCGAGGATGGATTTTCTGACACCAAGCTTCTGAATGCATTTTAAGGCTTTGAGCACCGCCCAACAGAACCTCATGCTGACCACCACCACCGCGGAGTAGGAGACGTCCGCATGCCCAAGTTCTCATCCACAGGGGTTCTCGCCCCGTCCCGCATCATAATTAAGCAGAGGGAGGTATAAAGACAAACAGCTGAGGCCCACAGACATGGTATTCGCATCACAGGCAGCTCCTGCCTCAGCTTACTTGGCATATGGGAAGGCAGACAAGCTGCCCACTGTAAGTGAACGGACGGGAGTGGACAGGGAGGACATGAGGCTGAAGAAAGCTTTCCCAGAAGTGGAATCCGGGCACTGCATGAGTGAGGAGGGCAAGGTGTTGAGTGACGTCCTGTTTCAGAGCCTTGCCAAAATCTGGGATGATGTCCCTCTCTGGGCCAAGCTCACTACTGAGAATTTCCCAGTAAGCATGGAGGCTTCAGAGCACCTGACACAGGGCTCCGCTGAGAGGCTTTTATTGTAATAAAGGCACAAACACAATCAGGTATGAGCATGTTGTTTTGAGGTCTTCGTCCATGTTTTTTTTTTTTTTCCCCTGAAAATCTCAGCAGTTCAGGACCCCTGCTTAGCACCTGACCTGCAACTCCCCCTTTCCACACAACTATACAAGCAGGTGTTCTAATCCCTTTATGGCCCATCTCCCCTGCAGCGGAAGTGATGGTCTGAGATGCCATTCCACTGCAGGTTCCTTGTGTCCTTAAAGGTAGGTTCAGTGGACAAGCTTACTCTGATAGATACATTAACCCAACAACAAGCATAACATTTAGACAAAGAGCAACTTCTCACAGAAATAAGAAAAACAATGCATACTGTTATTCATGCAACAACAAGCATAATTTGTCTTCCGGAAAGAGAAATGCAAGGGGATAAAAATCCCTCGTTATGCGATGAGTCTTAGAGGGCCCTGGGGTCCTGAAGGGGGGAACTTGCCTAGACTCTCCGGAATACACTTTGAATAACACGTCCACGCATTGGGGTCGGCCGTGCTCTCCTCCACCTGACGTCAAGGTTCGGGACCAGAGCCCCAGTGTGCCTCTGTGGCAACACCACACTGCACTGCTTTAACTGGGTTTAGCCTCATCTGCTTATCTTTGAACCAACTGTATTTTAAGTTTTTCATCTGCAGTTTTGCCTTTCAGGATGAAAAGGATGAGTTTAAGTTTGCATTTATATAAACTCAAGTGGTTTCCCAGAAAATATGGACTCTACAAGTTTCCTTGGCCAGTTATCTGAGCCCCAATTGTGGAACAATTATTACACAGTCTTTGGGGTCAATGCATAAAACTCCTGGTAAGAGCTTTTGGAGCTTCGAATGACCACAAAGAGAAACTAGGCCTTGACCCACACAAATGCATGAGGAACTCTCCTATCAAGGCTTCCCAGGTTGCTCAGAAAGGAACGCGACTTCCCTTGGTTGCGAGGAGTATCTGGGTAGAGAAGGTTTTCCCTCTGGGCTCAGGACTGGCTAGTGGCATTTCCAGAGAGTCGAGCCTTTGCTTTTCTCTGCCCACATTAAGGACAGAGAAGACTATTGTTCCCACAAACATGAAAATGTGAAACAGGCTTGATCATATTACATCCAAGAAAAGCGTGTTTGCACTATTATTCTCACCAAGAGCACCAAAACTCACAGGATGGGTCCCCCGATTTCATGCATGACCCAGATCTCAATGCGTGTGATTGCATCCTTCTGGAAGTAGGGAACTTCAAAATCTGCAAAAAACCTGAAAAACAGGAAAGACACTCCTTAAAGCACTAAAGCAATATGTTACTGTCTCCATTTCATTGGTAGTGATTTACACGTTATTTCTGTTTTCAAGCTTTTGGGGGCTGTTTTTCAGCTTTAGTTTTTAGATTCCTTATTTTATTCCCGCTTTCATCATCTGTTAATGATCTATAAACCTACCTCTAATCTTCAGCTCTTTTGACTGCTTTGCTCTACCCGAGCAAAGCATCAGATTGGGAATTAGGACCATTCTCTGACGCCTGCATTCAAAACAACTAGATGAACATCGTGGCATCTCTGCTGTTATGTGCTGGTGCTGCGTTCTTACCCTTTTTCGGGATAGGCTCCTGTGGGCTCCGAACCATTCAGCATGACGTGGATCACACCAGAACTGTCCTTTGCATACTGCAAGAAAAAAAAAATGAGTACTTTGAGAAAATTAACATACCTTTTTTCAGCTGTAAATTGGCCACATTTTCATTTATTTATTTTGAGAGGGAGAGAGAGCTTTGTTGTTCCCCTAATTCGTACATCCATTGGTTGATTCTTGTACGTACCCTGACGAGGCATCCAGCCTGCAATGTTGGCTATCAGGACTGTTGGGAACCGCCCTGCCTGGTCTCAGGAGCTGTAACCCACCCCCATGGCTAAGGCTGAGTGAGCGACCTTTGGACCATAAGCCACTATAGAGACAAAGCTTATCTCCCTGGCAGGAGCGCCGCTTCTGCTCCTTTTTCCATAACTGGCCTCCAATGCTTGATGAGTTAGCCAATGATGGGTAAGATTCCCTAAGGGGGGAATGACCTAAGGCAGGCATGATCACATGGAGGCCCCAGGGAAAGACTTGGGGGGCTATGGAGAAAGGGGGTGATGGCCCTTGCCCCTCAGCTTTGACAAAGCCTGAGTCCTCAGTATGTCTTGGAGAAGTCTCCAAGAATTCCTTGGCTATCTTGCCTCCTCTGCCTGACTTAAGCCTGAAAACAATGGCTGAGGGTGGAGCAGCCCTGTGCTGGGAATGGCGGGCTCCCCGAGTGATTAGGCCTGAGAAAGGATATATAAAATCCCACAAAGCCTGCTTTGCTAAGAATGCTTAGTTAAATGATAAAGGCCGAAGCAGAAAATGAATTTGTTTTCCCAAAGTTTTGAAACCTTTTAGCTGATAGACCCTGACTTAGAAGAAGCCCTAATAGTTCTTTGTATGTTACGTACCGTTTACTGCCTGACAATGATTAATAAGTTGTACCTAAACTCCTGCGCAAAAAAACAATAAAAGCCTGTCTAGGCAAGGGGTGGGGCGCTCTCCCCTTGAGAGAATTGCCAGGCCGCTTCAAGGTGCTCCCTGCTGAGGGAGTAGCTGGGCCGTCCCTTTTCCTCCACGGGACTCAGTAGTCCGTGTGAATTTGTCTCATGTCTCATCCATGATGCCGCAGGTACTGTGAGCCAGTGCCCATGTTATAGGACAAGGTTCTAACCAACTAAGCTACACGGCGACCAATTTTTAAAAATTGCCAATTGTCAATATAAGCAAGGGTGTGATAAATTTGATATTTCATACAGCTAGAAAGGATAAAAACTGGTATATCTTGGAAAGCAAACTGCTTTGAAGTGTCAAAGACTCATAGACTCAAGTAATTCCATGCCTGGAGATCTACCCAAAGAAAATAATGCGAAACAGTATCAGACTCTAGCAATGCATCGGCTGGAGTGGACTAGGCCGTGCCGCCGTCACCGACAACCTCCAACCACAGTGGCTTGAAACACCGGAGATTTAGTTCTTGCACACACTACATGTTTCTCACAGGTCCCTTGGGGTTTTGCTCCCTGTGTTCTCACTCTGGGACCCAAGGTGACGGAGTCTGCACATCCGCCAAGTCACCGGTTACCGGTATCAGGAGGGGAGAAGGGGAAAGGGGCAAATCACAGAGCAGTTCCTAAAGGCTTTCTTCCACCCACAAGTCACAGAGTCCCTCCTGCACACACCTCACTGGCCTATGTAAGTCACACGTGAGTAACTTCCAGAGGTAGAGGAGGGCAAACCACGTGCTCAGAAGATGAGTCAGAAATGTTTGGCTGATGAATGCACAACAGTCTACAGATGATGTGTGGTAAAATTATGCACCTGAAGCCTGTACAATTTTGTTCGTCAGTGTCACCCCCATAAAAAACATTTGATGAAGAGCCCTGGCTGGTGTGGCTCAGTGGCTCAAGTGCCAGTCTGGGAACCAATGGACTGCCAGTTCAATTCCCAGTCAGGACACACGCCTGGCTTGAGGGCCAGGTCCCCAGTAGGGGGCACGCAAGAGGCAACCACACATTGATGTTCTCTCCCTTTCTTTCTCCTTTCCTTCCCCTCTCTCTAAAAATAAATAAATAAAATCATATATATATATATATATATATATATATATATATATATATGATAAAGAGTGTATGCCAACAGTTACAAGAAAAAGAATGTTGCAGAGGTGAAAGGTGAGACTCCGAGTGGTTCACTAGTGGCCTGGTGACCAGGCTCTGAACCCCTCTGTCCCATTGTCACGGGACCCGCCTGTGCCCAGCCACCCAGCCGTCCGTCCCGGGACTACCTGCATGGAGACCCTTTTCCAGAAAGAATCCACAGCGTTGTTTTCGCAATCCTCTGATGTAGGGCAGGACTGGTAATGGAGCCCTGGGGGGAGACGGACAAGCACATTTCACTTCGAAGATTAATTTGGGAAGAATTAATTTAAAGCATTTGCTGGCTCTACAAGGAAATTTCAGCCTGTGTTCTGCACAGGCTGCTCAGGTCCAGTAGACAGAGTTGTGCCCGCTCAGTCCACGAGGAGCCTAGCAATTGACCCCCCAACCCATGGGATGGAGACATCTGTCATCTTGCTCGGCACAAATGTGAGGAAGGCGGAGAACTAAGCAGCTGGGTAACGTGGGAGCCTGGCCAACCGCCAACACATTGGCTGGACTATTTATGTTCTGGAATGCTAATAAAGGGGGTTAAAAAACAAAAACACAAAAATTTTGCTTTACTGCAAGAAGTGCCTTCTCCAATTAGCTCAGGTCTTGAAAGGATTTAAATACCAATATTAAAAAATAGGAAGTGAGAGTCCTTAGCCAGAAAATAGACATTTTATAACATTTAAAATATAAATGTTCAAGTGTATTCAACTTCATTAATTTTAAGGACAAAGTTCAGCGGATATATATGGTATTTGTTCACTATTTACTCCACTAAAGAAAGGCACATGCTGGTTGACAGGTGCTTCCAGGGAGAACCAGGCAGGGAAAACGTGTACCTGAGGGCGAGTGATGTGTTTCAGGGCAGTGCAGGTGCGGTTGCCTGTCGTGTTTTCAAGGAGATGCAAGGCCTACTGCACGACTCGAGAGAACATCCTTACTTAACATTACCTGAGAAAGCGGTGATTACTTCTTTGCATTGTGCACTCTAGAATTCAAACTAGTTCAGGTTATCATCTCTGCAGGCCAGTGTCCCAATTTCTCAGAGATCTATGAGTTCCAGAGGGGTCTCCTGCATGGTACCTGACGCGGAGGACCGGAAGCTAATTCTCCAGCTCCCCTCTGTTGTTATTATTGATCGCTGGTATTACCACCTACTTCAGAACTTGGGAGGGGGTGGTGAGCCAATGGGGTAAATGCATATGGATACATTTAGCACAAGATGCACAGGAAACAAGAACTCATACTTGTCCACTGAGCCGTGGGAGAAAAAAGAGCCTTACCGGAGGCGTTTTCCTGTCGACACCAGCTCAGCAGGTCTCCGACCCTGCCGTACAGAACTTGGCTCACAGGTGTAAAGCGACGGGTGTTCTCTGCGTAGCTGGTAACGAGCAACTGGTTGTTTTCCCAAAACAGGGACTAGGGAAAAACAAACACAACGTGAAATGATAGAACAAAATCAAAGCAAATTTTTTTCGGGCACGACATCATCCGGCTCAGTCAGGCAACCCACTTCCATTCGATTCTGACAGGCCTCACAACAAATGCTCTTTTCCTTTCTCTGTCATGGTTCACCAGTTCAGAGTGCGCCAGGGCCTCTTTCCCCTTTAGTCCGAGGGCGTGGTGCCGATGTCAGTGAAGTTTTCCCAGTAGTACAATACAGTGTGTGCATCTGCATGTGTGTATCAAGATCCCTGGATTTAAAAGACCAAGGGACCTGGGTTTATATCAAGGATACACTAGACATGTGATCTTGACCAGAGCATGTAATCTCCTTGTGCCTCGGTTTCCACGCCTGGAAAATGGGGAGCATGAGCCCTTCCTCTTCTTCCCCCACTGTGTTTAGAATGATAGGCAATCACAAAAAAAGTGCTTCCTAAATTGTAAGGTGTCTCGCAAATCTATGACTTTTATGTTATACTTTATAGTTCCTTGTAGCCAGCCCCCCTGTAAGTTGTTCTCACGAAAGCAGCTCAGTTGTCCGATGCTGTCTCCTTGTCAAGCAGGAGGGGAGAACTTGAGGAAGGTGAGGAGAATTTAGGAGCATGTCTTGCACAAGGAAAGAATGTCCCCAAAGTAGCCGTGACCGGTTGCTGCCGCCCAGAAGCCTGGCTGCACAGAATGTTATCTCTCAGTTCTCTGGAACTACCGCTCCCTGCTCCTGGCTGCATAAGAGCTCCACACTGTGCCTTGGGGGACAGATGAATTTGAGAGATGTTGCCTTCCCCGGCACTCTGCCAAATTGAATACGCCTTTCTCTGTCTCCAAGCACCAGTGTCTTGATGTTTGGGCTACCAGTGCAGTGGGTACATAACCTAAATCCTTGAAGGTCGTTCAGCAATATTCCTTCTATAGAGTTATAGTATTTTTACCCAGCAATTCAACTTTGGATACATCTCCAAAGGAACCCAAAACATGAATTCAAAGAGATACATACATCCCTAAGTTCACTGAAGTGTTATTTACAACAGCCAAGATTCAGAAGCAGCCCAAGTGTCCATCAAGAGATGAGTGGATAAAGAAGAAGTGATACATACCGATGGAATACTACTCAGCCACTTAACAAATGAAATCGTATCATTTGATACAACACAGATGGACCGAGAGGGTGTTATGCTAAGGGAAATAAGACAGACAGAGAATGATAAATACCGTATGATTTTACCAATGTGCGAAATCTAAAGAATCATATAAATGAGCCCACAGAACAGAAACAGACTCCCAGAAACAGAGAACACGCTGAAGGCTGACAGATGTGAGGAGGGCTGGGAGCTGGGCAAAAAGGGTGAAGGAGTTAGGAAGTACAGATGGGTAGTTACAGAAACATCACAGGGATGTAAAGTACAGCCCAGGGAGCACAGTCAATAATATTACAATAATTATGTCGGGTGCCAGGTGGGTACTTGGAATATTGAGGGGTCACTTGGTAAAGTACGTGATTGTCTAACCACCATGCTGTGCATCTGAAGCTAATATAAAATAATATTATGCCAACTGTAATTGAAAAATAAAATGTAAAAGCTAAAAATAATAAAGTTGTACTGTTTTCACATAAAAATAATGCAAATCAAAGTACCCTGCTCACTCATTCTCTCACTGCACACTCAGGAGTCCAATAGGCCCCCGCCCAGACTGGCAGCTCCCTGGCCGTTCTGTCTCCCGTTGCACCATCAGCCCTCAGCACAAGGCCCAGCATGTGGAAGTAGCTCGGTAAGTGTGTACTGAGCTCATTTACTAGAACCAAAATCTATGCGAAAGGGGAACAAAGTTTATGGCTCGCCTTTCACTGTCAGGGAAGTGGCAATGTTCAAAATATACGTAAAAACCACATTTTCAGTCTATTACATCTCTGAACCTCCTGGATCCATTTACCTGCTTTTACAAAGGAAAAAATCAGTGTGAAGATTTTTTTCATTTGTAAACACCAATGTTACCTGATTTTACAATGAAAAATCAAGTTAAGAATTATTGTATCAGAGACATAAAAATGACCTCTAACATTCTTTAAGCTGAAGGCGCTGTTCTAAGAAAGCATTGCGTGCAGACTTTCTCATTTATTTCCATTATATTAGACCTGGGAGTGCAGACAGGATGAAGAAGTGCGGTTTTCTTAAACTGGAACTGAGTAGATATAACCCTAAGGCTCATTAAAAGGAGAAACCGGTTGTCCAGGAAGCTACTTGATAATGAGCACTTGCCAAGCTACTCAAGGTTCAGGCCTGTAGGCTCATTTGGGACAGAGATGGCTCATCACTGGCCTGGGGTGGAGGCCCAACAGGAAAGTACGACCATATCCTAATGCTGTGCCTTGCACTGACTTGTTGACTTAGAAACTGTTTCCTTCTGCCCACACGTGCAGGAGACACGGGATCGCTGGTGAAGATAAAGCCACCTTCCCACCCCCGTGCAAATGGTTTGGAGTTTGTGGCCCAACGTTTCAGTGACACTGTAGGGTCGCTGGAGACCTCTCGGTCACACGTCTGTACAGACGGAGAGCCACGTTGGACGGGGCCTCACCTTGTCTTTGGGAATGGAGTGCCTGGAGAGGTTTATGAAACGGTCGTAGTCGGAGGGAAGCACGGAACAGGGCTCCTTCTCCAGCACCTTGTGAAAGGCTTCCCAGATGGCTGTGCAGTTCTTGTCCCTGTTCAAGAGCGAGAGTTCATCAGAGAACGCGTCACAACGCGCCGTATTTACACTTCTCACAAAGTACGCCAAGAGCGGGACGAGCCATTTTGTCCTACATCGACTCTGCCCAACTCAGCACACGCAAACGACGGGGAATTGTCACGGCTCATGCCTTAACCCCACTTCAGAAGAAGAAAATAAGTAATTTAGGGGATGGATCGAGAAACCTGATGGTGGAAATGTCTCCTAGGATGTACCACCCACACCTTTCAGAGCTAAGGAATACTGTCCTGCCCCAGGCTCACAGAAAAGGCACCAAGCTAGAGGGTGACAATTCCGATAAAGCTGGCCAGGCGCCCAGCTTCTCAGTTTAGACAATGAGGCCCCTTGTGCGGTTGGGGCCAGGTGAGGTCGGGTCAGAGGGCAGGACCTTGTAAAGCCAGGAGTGAGCACCAGGTAGTGAGGTCTGCTGCACAGCCTCGTCCAGTCCAGCTTTCCAGAAACATCCCCAAGGGCATTCGCAACCTTGCTCCTCCTGTTGAGGGGGAAGCAACATGGTGTTCCTTATAGTATTTCTGACTTCTTTTTTTGGCCTGAAATGTGTCACTTTAAAAACAACTAGCACAAGAAAGGGACATTATGAAAACAGGAAAAAAAAATAGGTCCCAAAGAAAGAACAAAAAAGTAAGAAGCACAGGGCTGGCAAAAGAGACTCCACCTTTTAAAAAGTCCTCTGGATTAGATTTGAACTTGCAATCGCTAAAGTGCCTGGACTCTGGGGCTTCCTGGACCTGCTGGCTCTGGGTCTGTCACCCAAACGCCACACTCTCTCTAGTCCTCACCTCTAGACCGACCGACCCCCCCACCACACACACCCCACACACATCCTGCTTCATCTATATAAACACACAAACACATCTCACCTTCAGACCCTACACACTGACCCCATCACCTCCCGACTTGCGAGCTTGGCTCCCCTGACCTCAGAACCCCCTCCCGGCCCCCAGCGCGCACCCCTGTAGTCAGAACCCCTTACTTCCCGCACACCCCCGACCTTTAGACCCCATTGCTACCTCCCCACAACCTTCTCGCCTCCGGAGTGCCCACTTTTCCCTCCCCTGTCGCCCCCGACGCACTTATTTCCCATCCCCGCTCCCAGCCCTCTCCTCTTCTGCGCCCCCACGCCAGCCTGCAGAGCTCACCGCAGCTGGGGATTCAGCAGTGAGACATACTCGGCGCAGCGGCCCAGGAAGATGCTTTGCAGGTGCTGGGTTGTACCCTCCCCGCTCCACTGCGAACTCGCAGCGCTTGCAGCGGCCCCAGAGCCGGCAGAGCTGGCCGCCAGCAGCAGAAGCAGCAGCATCACGGGGAGCAACGAGCAGGACAGTGCGCACCCCTGAACAGCCACGCGGGCGCTCTGAAGAGCCTCCCGGACTCGCTTCTTTTGCACGAAGACGCCCCACCCCACCTCACCCCACCCCACCCCACCCACACCTGCACTGACCTAGGCGCGGGAGAAACGGCTTGGTTTTCTGAGTTACTGCCTAGGCATTTTCTGGTTTGCCTGACCTGTTCACACCAAGAATGTGGACATTTAGATAAGGACTTCGGTTTAGCATACGTGCCGTAAGATACCGCTTTGCTTCTCTGGGACACCGTTTAAAATAACAGCCAAGCCCTGGCTGGTGTGGTTGAGCAGACCGAGCACCCGCCCCTCTGCGGACCAGAAAGGTCGCCAAGTGTGACCCCGCACGTCTGGCCAGTTGGGGGCGTGCGAGGCATCTTCGATGTTTCTCTCGCACTTTGTTTCTCTCTCTTCCCCCACCCCTCTGAAAATAAATAAAATATTTAAAATAACCACCAAAAGTTAAGCCCTTGAAAAGTTGGTATCTCCACCCCACGTACAGAATAGGTGCTCATGACCCCGCTCTCTGAAACCTGCTGTTGGGCAAGAGCTGCTGCTTTCCTGATTTGCACCCTGAGCTTCACCCCAGCCCTAACCCCGTGCAGGAACGTGTGAGTAATGAACCCTTCCTTTGTGTGGGGGAGGAGAGACTGCACCTTCGAACAATTCATGTATTGAATTACACTGGATGCCGAATGCGTGTGGGTGCTTAGAGCCAGGCCTCCTCATTGTGGTCATAATGGGCATAATCTTAATCACAGGCTGCTTGGCAGCAAAACACAACACCCTTGCTCTGCTTCCTTTCCGACACACTTTCGTTTTCCGGTTCAGGGCTGAGCTGGGACATCAGTGGGGACAGGACAGCTGCTCTTCTGCTGAGCTGGCCTGAGGCAGGATGGCGGGAGCCCCAGAGAAGAAGGGGGTGGGAACACAGGAGAAGAGGGTTCAGTCCGTAGAGGGAAGATGTTTCGGGCCCCAGACTATGACCACTTTGACAGGCTATCTCTTTTCCACCGGCCAAGTGGGTTTTGTTTTCAGAAAATAGTAACTACAAAAAAGAATATTTATTGAGCTGTTCTATGTGCCCAGAACTCTGCAGACATAGTTTTCATTTACTCTTCACAACATCCTCCGATTCTAGCTTTATCGCACCCATTTAACCCATGAAGATACCAGGGAAGGTAAGTAACTCATTGGGGTCACCATCTCCGGACTGACTGACTGACGTACAAGCGTGGAGACCACCGGTTTAGAGAGCCAGGACGCCAGAAGTAACAGAATCCCACGTGAGGGGCCAAGCCCTCAGTCTGTACAGTGACCGGAGCTGTGAACTCTCTCTGGGTGGCGTTTGATACACATGGGAGGCAGCTGCAGGTAGGTCTGGAGGGTTCTGTAACATTTTATACGAATCTTTGTTTTGTTTTTAAAGGTTATAACCAAGCTTTGAAGTGTATCAGGGTTTGCTCAGGCGGACTTCAAAGTGGTTTGCTGATGGTTCCTTTTTGCCTCTCACATTCTGCCTTTCTTAATGGGAATGACTGCAAGTTAACCCTGCACAGGTCCCACCACTCTATTTCTGGAGCACAGAACTTGCCCCCTAGTTTCACCACTCCACAAATAGAGGATTTTTTTCATGGATGAGCTATACCCAGGACCGCACCCACGCCTAAGATTTGAAACTTTCGAGCTGATGAGACACGTTCTGAGATTGCGGACTCGAGTTAATGCCATAATGGGCCGCCACTTTGGGGCACCTTGGGGTGGGCGGATGAATGTATTTCTCCTGTGGGATATGTCTTTGGGAACCAGGGGATATGCTATGATAGGCTGAATAATGGCCCCCCACCTCACCCCCAATATGCAGCCTTGCAGAGTACAGGGGATTTCCCATGAGTAACATACAGTGACAGACCAAGGCCTCTAGGTCAGAGACACAGTTTATTACTAATGGTCAAAACACCCAGCCAGAGCAGCACTGCCTGTCGATCAGGTCCCCATGCCCCAATTCCCACAGCATCACAGTGTGGAGCAGATGTCACCTCTGCATGCAGCAGGAAACTGGAGCAGGGGCGTCCACCGCCTGCGGGCTGCACGCGCCCAACACAAAATAATAAATGTACTTAAAACACTATGAATTTTGTGATTACATGTCAACATGTATTTAATGTATGGCCCAAGACAACTCTTTTTCCAGTGTGGCCCAGAGATGCCAAAAGTTTGGACATCTCTGCCTCCGTGTAACAGGGTGCAGCCAAGAGCGGGGCCCCCAAAAGGGATTCGAAATGGGGTCCAGAACTCAAGGTGTCTAGAAAATATTAGAAAGACATATAGGATGTCCTCACCTCTTCCCCCCACAAGTGTGAGTTGGGGGAAGAGACACATGGAGCAGGAACATACAGAGCTGTTTTGTATAGTGACAGCTTTTGCAGCAAATCCATGGCATGGTCATTTAACATACCTATAATTTTTAACTGGCTGCATAGATATGTTAAATAGCTGTGGCCTGCTCTGAGCCAGGGGGATGGAAAGGGACTCCCCCTGCCAAGATGTATCTGGGAGCACGTCCCCCAGGTTAGAGCACCTGTGTGAGAGCTTGGAGAAGATTGGCTCCACACCATGGGGCCACACCCGCCCAGAGTCACAATGGCAGCCCAGTAAAGCTGGAAGGATACAGGAATGCTGGCAGGTGTAACTGATTGTAGGAGGAGTTGGAAATGGGGGCACAGGAAGATTGGCACGGGGATTTAAACGGAGACATGGCAGCCATTGAAGGGAGGGAGAGCCACATACTCTTGACAGAGTGGGGACCCCCGCAACCTTGTGAGGGAGAACCACGCGGCTTTGGCAGAGTTTAGACCCTCGCAGCTTTGCCGGGAAGAGACCCCCACAGCTTTGGTGGAGAGAACCATGTGCCTTTAGCCAGTGGTGGGGACTCCTACAGATATGCGAGGGGGAATCACCATGCAGCTTTAGCAGAGACCACCACTTGGCTTTGGCAGACTGGCAACCTCAGACTGGCAACCTCCCCAGCTCCCCACAGCTTTGGTGGAAAGAAGAGGACCATGCAGCTTTAGCCAGAGTGGGGACCACCACAGCTTTGGTAGAAGACCATGCAGCTTTGGGGTGCTCCCTTTGGCCACGTGGCCTGGGAAGCAGGAGAGATTTTGCCTGGAAGAAGGGTGAAAGAACTCTTGCCCATAGGCCATGAGAAGGTGCCACATGGCTTTGGGTTAATTAGATCCTTCCTGAACAGCAACACAGCTGATGTCCTCCCCCCGCCCTAAGACAAAACTGCAAATTTATTTCAAAATGGAGGGAGAAAGAGGAAAGAAAACGGGTCATTATTCTCTCCATCCTGTATTATCAACCTTCATCAATTGTATCAGCCTGTTTCAGGCTTATCCCAGCCCCCAACAGTGCCGGCAACCTGAATCACGGACCCTGTTTCTTTTCCTGAGTTACGGTACCCTGAATTAGGGCAGGGGGAGAAGGAAGCGCTATGGGCATCTGTGGGTATCCAAAATGACTTTGATATTTTAATGAAGATGTTAGGTTACTACTTTAAGTCTGTATAGCTTCAAATAAACAGTTCCTTTCCTTTCCTTTTCACAAATCTCTGGCATTAAGAGATGTCTTTCCTAAGGTGGTGGACAATTGAACCTAGTGGGGGGTCCTTCCAGTAATAGTATATCACACCCCCCTTGGCCCTGTGTGTGCCTGTTCCAGTAACAGTTTTTGGCCTCCCTGGGTGGGCCAAATATTGCCCCCCCCCCAGGCTGTAACATTGGGTTTAATGGGGTTGCTGGTACATCTTTCCATCCTCTCCGAGAAATTACCTGTTACTCCTAGAATACATGCAAATGACTCTGGCGAGGGAGGAAAGGGCTTTATCTTTACTTCCCTGGGGTGTCTCCAGGGAAAGCGATGTCTCCAGCTTCACTGTCTTGGAATGTCTCCTTATACAAATATTCTTCATTTAGATGCAAATACTTTTAGGGAATCCACACTGCAGAAATACGAGCTACTCATGGAAAAGTGCCTTCCAACATCTATTTCAAGCACCAGAAGGGCAGGGAAAATCTATTACCTTTAATAGAATAGAAACCTGCAACAAACAAAAATAATAGAAAGTCTGAAAAAATCGATTATAATAACGCTAGACTGATGGAAAGGAACTGCTAACCTACCCGACTTTAGAAAAAGACCATGCCAAAAGAAACATCACCTGGTGGGGCCGGGGAATACCTAAAGAAAGGCAGATAGGAGGTGAAATGAGTTTGAGGAAGACGTTAAACAATATGTTGCTTATTAGCACTAATCCAAGAAAGCAACATCAATCCATGCCATTTACGAATGCTTGTAGAGATTATCTGACAAAAGATTTTAAAATGTAAAAAAGGCAAAGAAATTTGCCATACATTTAGTACTTATTCCTGGGAAGTTGATCTCGTTATAGGTGTTAGATGTTCATTCATGTGTTCTTCATCAAATGTATACTGAATACTCACTGACTATGCATCAGACAGGATGGACATGACCTCTGCCCCAAGGAGCGTTCACTCCAAGGTGGCGGACTGACAGCACTAGCAGTCAAGTAAGTAAAAATATTACCACCTCTATACTACAAAGGAGACAAAGCAATCAAGGGAGGAATGATGGCAAATGTACCCATACCCAAACTCAGGTGGTTAGGAAAGCCCTCCTTTGGGAAGTAACATGTAATTCAACGTCTTCTCCAAAGAGCAGAGCAAATCTCTGAATCCTCGTGCAGGTCCTGTGTGTGCTCTAGATAATCCTTCTGCTCTCCGTTTCACCGACAAAAACCAAGGCCCTCTAACGGCCTACCGAGCTCTTTAGGATTTTGTCCCCAGTTTCCTGACCTCCTTTTCTTAGTCTTCTGATAGCACTTATTATCTTCTAAGTATGACAAAGCCTATTTATCATATTTACGGTTTCTCTCCTTGCCAGAGCATCAGCTCTACTAGAGAACAATCTTTGCTTTCTTCACTCTGTATCCCAAATGTCTCCAGA